CAGATTTGGTTGACCAACTGTTGGATGCTGGCTAGGGAGCTGAACTGCAAAGACTCTTTAACCAGCTGACAGTGTTTGACTAAATTTTTCATAACTGACAGTATCAGAATGACAATCAAAACATACCTTTCCTGGTGTTTCTTCTGTGAGACATAGTCTTTCATCTGTAGGATTTAGTGTCTGTTTCGCCAGTCACTGTTGGACATATTAAGCAACAGCTGACAAGAGGAATCAGAAATACCCTGTACAAAATTATTTCTATTTTGTCCTGCTTGAATTTGGCCTGAACTAATGCCCTAGCAAATTTTGTAAATGCTGAATCCACACATCACAAAAAAAATCCACCCACTTTTTCTTTTTTTTTTTTTTTTGTTGTGTATCCCATTTTGAGTCTTCCCAGCACACTTGCGAGTTAGAATCTCCTAGAAGAGTGCTGTTTCAAGGCAGCTTCATGATGTTTTTTCCAGTCATGTGAATTTATTATGCTTTTGAATGGAAAAGGGAATTATTAACGTGCATTTCTTTGTTGAAATCGTACATTGGAAGTCAGTTCCTAAAGCAGGTTGGACCTGGATGAAAATTAAGGGAGTTTCTGAAAAACATATGGGTACTGCAGGTGTGGAGGCTGGTATTTCTGTGGGTGACCAACTCTCTTATGAGCTGCTAATGGAGTGGTTCCTCAACAGTGCTCTGGGGTAGGCATTTCCACTGGAAATACTTTTTCAGGATGTCTGTAGTAAAATCAAGATCTTGTTTGTTTTTTTTTTCTTTCTTTAAATCTCAGGAAAATATAGGAAAGAGGAGTGATAATAATCCTGGTGTCCGGATCAATTCCAGTTGCAGATGTAATGATGATTTATCTTTCAGATTTCACTTGCAGCTTCTCTAGAGTGTTTTCTGCTTTTGACTGTTTTGTAGTGTTGCTGTGATGCAGTCTGAGTTCAGAAGTGGTTGCATGGCAGTGCTGTATGAAGAGGTTCCTGTATATTTGTATCAGTACTCTGGTTTTACTTATTTTTTGTGATTGTCCTCAACTGTGATTGCACCAGGACAATGTATTTTTCTCTATTAATTGGCAAAGTTTTAATGTGCATTTTACTCTGCAAGAAAAAAAGAAATGAATGCTCTCAGGTATTCAGCATTCACTGATTTCATAGGAAGTGGAGGAGAAAATCTGACTGTAAACACTGTCGTAAAGACATTATAGATTTTAGTGTTCCAAGTGCCTTATAAATCAGTGTCTGGAAATTGCAGATATACATAAAATAGATTTTGCCTGCTTTAATATTGATATACAAATTACAGCCCTTCCATAACGTGCAGTTCATATAGGCAAAAATTTCTAATGAAGAAGCGCCTCTGCAAAAGGAGGTCGATTTCTGGCTCTGCCAGCAAAACAGGGGAGCGAAACCCATTCTAATAATGATGACAGAGAGGATAACAAGGTGGAAGGTGAGATGATCAAAGATTGTAAATTGGATATCAAAGGAAGCAGAATGTTGACTTCTTTTGCATCTTCATCATTTTGTATCTGAACATAGCAGAGTGAATGCTGTCATTAGAATAAATAAAAGAAACTACACCTGAAGTAAAAAGCCCTATAAATAAAAAAATTTGTACGGTATGAAGACAAGAACTACTGTGCTCAATAGAGTTCCCATCTCCCATATTATTCTACGTGAATCAATCAGAATTAATGTGAGATTCTGTTATTCCCTGATCTATTCTCTCTTTTTGACTATTAGAACAAAATAAAAGGAAAGTAAATGCAGAATGAACAAATGTTTTTCAGAAGTGGTTAAGCAAGAGGTAGAGCTGAAGAGATAGCTTCATACCACCCCCACCTTGCTGTTTCAGCAATAGTTACATTTGCTACTTGCTGCAATGACAAGCTCAAATTGTCATCAATAAATGTTGATTCATTTTCACCTAATAACAGTAAGCAGCTCCCACTGAAAATCAATTTCAACTGTATTGGTAAGGCACTGCACATTTGTCTTCGCCATGACTGTGCTGCATAAAGGAACAATTGAACTGAAAAGTAAATGAACAATAATTGAAAATTAAATGTGCCTTTTTAAAGGAAAATTAGTGCTATGCTAAATTTCCAGGAATCAGTTATTTTGGTTGGTTTGTTGTTTTTTTCTTCCCTTAAAAAGGTAAAATAGAATCATAGAATGGTTAGGGTTGGAAGGGACCTCAAAGATCACCTAGTTCCAACCCCCCTGCCATGGGCAGGGACACCCTTCACTACATCAGGTTGCTCAAAGCCTCATCTAACCTGGCCTTCAACACTTCCAGGGATGGGGCATCCACAACTTGGATCCAAAAATGGATCGGGCTAAAAAGTTAATTGTTTAAATATGTACACATTAATGTACATAATTAAAAATGGACTTTCACCTTGAAAGGATACAAAGGCTCTTCAGTAACTTTCTAGGATTTTAAATCTGGCAAAAGCAGTACAGTTTCTGTGGTAATTATACTTCCAATCCATTTGGATATGCTAATTAGATCTAAATTCTAATTAGTTTCTTTATGTGACTAAGAATGACAATCACAGGATTAATTTAAGGCATTTTTGTTCTTGACTTAGTGCCATTTTCAATATTTTTAGTACAGAAAATGTGGACTACCAAGAGCTTTGCTGTATAGGATGGCAGTGGTTTATCACAGATAGTACACTGTGCACACACTTCAAATGCATTCACTACATTTCACTGCATTATTACAGGTAACACTTCAGCAATTGGGTTATTAAGCTCAAAGTGTTGGAGGGTTTTTCCTGAGGAATTATGAGGACCTGGAACATGTCTGCAGTCCATCCATACAGCTGTGAACGGTTAGATACGCTGCGGAGGTATTAAAGAAGTAGAGATGGCTACTATAATCTGTAGTTGGTCTTTGTGATCAAATGAGAACATGAAGTGAGGAAACCAAGCTGATATAATTCATGTTTTTATTTAGAAATAGCTGTTAGATAAGTAATTGCAAGAGATTAATATGATGCCGCATTCTTTAGTTCCTCCTTGTATCCTATTGTTACTTTCAATGATTTTTGCTGGAGTTGTGAGTTCAGTAGATTCTTTATTGAGTTATTACTTCAGATTAAAAGTATGCTCAGCATTACTCTTGCTCATTCTCTGACAATAGTATAACCTTGACTTCAAAGTGTGAAGAATTAGAACAGCTCTGAGCACTTCTGAAAATGGCAGAGAAATGATCAAGTGGTTTTAAGGCCATCTTCTTTTGGGAAACACAATCATAGAATCACTTAGGCTGGAAAAGATCTTTAAGATCATAGAGTCAAACTTAACCTGTATATCATTGCAGAAAGGTTTAATTTGTCTACTTTTTGAGGCTCCCACTTCTTAGGGAGGCATCGTCAAACAATTGATATGAATATATTAAAATTAAATAATTTAGAAGTTGCTCTAAAAGGATCTAGTGGGAATAATGAAGAAAACAATATATTTCAAATGGTCCACTTCTTAAATTGTTAAATGTGTGTACTCAATTTTTTCCTTGTTTTCTGTCCGACTTTGAAAGATCTGTGTAACACATACACAAAGGCTTTTCCCATGAAGGACTGAAAATAATGCTTTCTGTAAATTTGTGTTGAATCGTGGTCAGCAAAGCTACTCCCCTTCTTTCAGGCCCCTTCAGCTGTTTCAGGCACCTTGCCATTTCTGTGACTGTGCAATAAAGAACAGTAATGTTTTGAATGTTTTACAGTTGATATTTCTCACAGATTACAGGGTTGAATACTCTGAGAGACTGGCCTTAGTAGAGGCCACTGGACCCAGCAGTAACCTACAGGTGTTAATCTTGGTTTTGTTAGAGCAAGATCTTTTGTGCCTTTAAATAGGGACATAAAAACCACCTGGGTTTAGGGGCTTAAGCTAGCTACCTGAGTCAGAAGATGAGCATGCCTCCATAGATTTCATGCACAGTCCATGGAGAAGGCAATTCAGAGCAAGAACTGGTACCAGTAGGTGTCTGTCTCTTTGCCTATATAACAAGTTTACAAAGGCAACTCGTTTACACGCCACAGTTGAGACTTTGCACTAAAGTCCACTGAAGTCAGTCATTGTCCTTCTGTTGTATTTTGGATGTAACACTTGTAATTGTACAGGCCACATGAATGTGGCAATGAATTCCAAAAAAGAAACCACTAATATTTGTATGTAGTGCTAAGGGGCGAGTGTTTGGTTGGTCTGTTTCTCTGTACCCAAGATAAGCATCTACAATCGTGTAAGAATATGGGTAAGTTATGTTTTCAGAGACTCTAAATTACAGGTCAGTATCTGCTACATTCAAATTGAAAGGCAGTTAGTCCTGGAGAGATCCCTGAGAAAAAGCTTCTGTCCTTAGAAGACCAGTGCAAAGCATCTGAATTCCTTTTTCTGCATTATCTGTTGCAGTCCTTTTTCAATACTGTGATATACCTATCCAATGGTCTTTTCCTCAATCATCTTTAAATATGAGTTTTAACATGGCTAAAATCACTGTTATTTCATTTTCAATGAGTAATATAAGCTTTAATTAAAACTAGTGTAATTCCTTTCATCAGAGTTCCACTAGGAAAGATGAGCTGGAGCAGACAGCATGCTAAAATTATGGTAGCTATTATTCCTCCAATTAGTGTATAACTGAAAGTAAGGTAGAAGTCTTGTTACAACCGCACTACTTTTTAAATGGTCTTCGTTAATATAGAAGTCCTCCCTGAGCTCATCTAAAGCAATACGTATACCCCCAAACCCTGGATGCTGTCACCCATTGTGCAGTGGTATTTAAAAGCACGACTCGATATCCCTAATTGTTTCATTTGCAATTTAAAGATGAATCTGTGTGCAAGCCCGTCCCTGACTTTCCATCCTATTGATTCCAGAAGGCGGAATACCTATTTCATACGTTCCTGCTTAAAGCTGCCTAGGAGGAATGACTGGCAAAGTCCATTTTATGGACAATGATGAAATTATTTCTGTTTTCTCTTTCAGCTCGGCTGCTGGAATCCCATCACTGGTCTGAATGGGTCACTAACAGACAGAAAGTTGGAGAATAACATGAGAGGAGTGGTTCTGCGTGTGGTGACTGTGCTGGTAAGCAGTTCCTCATCCTTTTGCACTAGAAGAAATGTATTTTCTCGCTCTTGCCTCGTCTTTTTATTAAGTGTACCATTTTACCAAGAACTTAGTGTTCAAGTGTCGGATTTCAGCTTGATGATACCAACTCAATGGAGCAATTTCCACAAAATAAAATTATTTATCAGTACGGTTCATTTCAGAGAGTGAATCAAGCATATTAAAACCTGTTTCTTCCACAGATGCATACTAAATCAGATAACACAATCATATAAACAGATAAAGGGCAACTACAATTGCCCCGTTAGCTAAAGTAACCTGGCTGAAACTCTAAATGATTCATAAGATATATCTGCCTTCCAGTAACCTTGCCGAATTGAGAGCAGTCTGACACAAATTGCTGCAGTCGGAAAATATTCAAGATCAGTTTAGGATGAGTAACGTTAGTTCAGTAAAACATCTGCTGCCGCCTCCTAGCTCTTCTTCAGCTAGGCTCTTCCCTGCGTGGACACTTTTCATTGAGCAGCTGCAGCTGGTTTAAAGCTGAACAGAAAACATCTACCAGAATAGGAAGGTTTTTTGTGATATGAGGCCAGTGTATGCTCTCTCGTAAACTATGGCTGCTTAAGTATAAGTTGTTAGAGTGGAAAAGGAAAGAAATAAAGAAAAATAAATGCATATGAGATGTATAGGCCTCTTTGGACCACTGCCCAAGCACAAAGTTGACCCAGGGCTGCAGAGCTGTAAAGGTTATATTGAGCTACTTTCCTTTCTCTACTATCTACTCATGCTTTTCATTACCAATTTGGAGTTTGAAGGCCTGACCACTTGCTTACAAAGAACAAGGCAAGAGTGGTTTCCACGGTTTGCGTTGCTGACATTGCATCATGAAGGAAAAGGCCCAGTCAAGGGTGGAAAGTGAAATCACCAGAGTGTGTCAGTGCCACAGGCAGAGCAGTTTTGTACCCTTATAATTATTTTTATGTGTACTTTAAAAGCTATCACCTGTCAGGGTGTCCTACCTGTTCCAACTCTTAGTACACTAGAGAACTTCCTCTGATAATATCTACAAAACGAACCCCCCAACCAAATAAGAAGGATGAATGCACAGAAAAATACAAAGCAGTAGGGTGGGGTTTTTTACACTTCAGTTGCATGTTCATCAAAATAACATCATGGTAGCTGTTGCTGGTCTTTTTTGTTTTGCCTGACTCATGTTAATTGATTCAGTACAATTTTCTGTTGACAAAAATGATCTGTGGATGTTGTCTAGCAAAATAAATTCAAATTAATCTTGGACGTTTTTTTCTTATTTCTTCTTCTCTCTCTCCTCACTCTATTCTTCTGATTTCATCCCCAGTTATTTTAGTTAGCTTGCCAGAGAGCATTTTTCTTTCAAGACATTATAGCATGAATATTTAGCAACTTGCAAAAATACAAAAAAAAAGTAATTAATTATGCTAATAGGATTCTATATTAATAATAAAAACAGAAGGCAGACATTTGAAGTTCAGCACACCGCAGTTCAGTCTCCTCACTGCTGTTCTCGCGTGCAGATTCATGTGAGCACACAAAAGCCATTTGGTTTTGTTGACAGTTTTAAAGCACAACTGGTGACAACTTCCATGCACAACTAGTGAAAAACACAAATATTCTGAATTGTGATTTCTTAAAATCTGCTAACTTATCATTTTGCTTGCTGACTGTCATTTTATGTAGAATGTGCACTGAAGGCAATATGTGGGGAAGATGTAAATGATTCATAATGACTTCATAACATAAAACTTCCTTTATTCTCTTAAAATTGTAGAGCTTTGCATGACTGGTCAGTGCACTCTAAACAAAATCCTCCTGTGAAACACACTGCAAATCAAGGTTCATTTCATTTTACTCAGCAAAGATGAGGGGCAAGGATTTTGTAAACTACATGAATAAAGCGAGGAAGCAAATACTTATTTAAAGTCATGAGCCAGAAACAATATTTTTTACTAGCAGTTCCCTTGACTCATGATACTTTCCCCTAAAGGCCCAAAATCAAGAAAATAAAATACCATTTCTCCCTCATCCACAAACTCTAATGGCTGAGAGATACAGACAAACACTGACAGAAAATCAGGCTACTAACTGAAAGCCTGAAGAGAAGTTGGACAGTGCAGATGCCGGAATTGCAATGAGCTAATTATTTCTAACCTTTTCTAATCTTTGGATATCCATAGATTTTGCTGCTACTCCTGTGGGTAATAGAGCATTATTTAGGGTGCTTACCATCTAGCAGTTTCTCTTACTGCTCTCAGTATGTATAAATAAGAGTTATTAATTAGGATATAGTGGTTTCTAAGTCTTAGTTTAATCTGAGACTTAAAATACAGCTGTCATTAGCATATCATTATTTCAAACGTATATTGCTATACAATAAATTTATAGGGCCTTTACTTGTTTATTATAGCTTGGTTCCCATCTTTTTTCACATAGCTCATTACAATGGTGCAATTATGTTATTTTTACTGGAATAGAATGAATAAAAAAATATATTATTTGATTTGAGAGGAATCTTAGCTGGGATGCCATAACACTGGAAATGAAGCAAAGCTATATATATATAAAAAAAAGTATTACTATCTGTTTTCTCTCATTTTAAAAATTAAACTTTTAGTCTTGCTGGTTTTATTCAATTTAGAAAAACTTGTTCTTAGGAAAACTTGGTTGACAAGGACTAGTCTAGAATTTCATTAAGCCTTATTCATTTTACAGCTATTATTAAAGGATATTTGCAGTTAAGGCCATTCATTTTGTGAAATAGAATAAAAAGTTGAAGTTACAGTTTGGACAAATCAACAGAACTGTTTCAGGTAAATCAAGGCAATAGTAATATATGGAATTACAGTGTTCATCTGGTTTTGTATCTACAGGATAGGACAGAACTGGAGATTTATATTTAACTTGTATATGATGAAAATGTGCGATTCTTGTCTTTGATATGAGTGCAGGAGAGATTTCACTCATCAACTTTATTTTAGTGATGATTTTTATCATACTTTCTTTTCCATCTTTCTCTGAGTTCTTCAATTAAGTCAATACCTTTCTGTTAAAAGTGAAGAATCTGTTATTGACTATGAATGATTAGTTATGTTATTAGTTTTGCCAGTTTCTAACAGGATGGTCTTGATCCAGGGAAACAGGAAGGTTTATGTTAAATCAAATAATAATACCTTTGAATATGAATGAGTTTCTATTTCATTGAGATTTGAGAAGTTAACATTAATTTGTTAATTTGTTCTGTTACTGCTTCTGCTCTCTTGTGTCTTTCTAGATAGCAACCTTTCTCATCTTCCAACTTCATTTTGTTATGCCTTCAAGTTGGAAAGGACTAGTTCTAAAAATTGTGGTAGAATCTGAGAGTATAGCAAATTGAAACACCTGGGTTGTACTGCATTATACTTATTACGAAATGAAACACTCTGCAGTCTGAAAACGGTAAATGATTGTGACGGATTTCCCCAAAGCAGTCCTTCAAAAAGCGAGTGCTGAAAAATTCCCATCATCTACATCCATCTACTGATTCCTTTCCCTAGATAAATTTAACAATTATAGGTTATTTCACAAAATCTCTTTGTGAATATGACAGAATACAGTATGTCCTCAAATTGGAAATTGCTGGTTTCATTTGGCAGTGAATCCTGACTCCTCTGAAGTAGGTGGGAATTCTCTCCTTTGCATAAATAGGAGTAAGAAACAATTATTTGTGTTTTATTCTGAGGGGAATTATAGTCATGCCTGTGCACATGTGATTCAACGTTTTAATCTGATACTTAGATTAGTATCACACTTTTCAGACTTCTAGAAAAGGTTTATTTTGTCTTACTTAAATATCAAATGTGTCTCTGTCTTGAACTGCTTCCTCACATGCAGCCAGTGCTTGAACTTTCTGTTTGACAAGTTACTTTTAAGTTCAAGGGACTTGCTGGTGCATTTCTGAAATGTATTCTGAGTTTCTGAAATGTAGCTCAATCAAAGGTCAGCATAATAGCTCCAAACAAATTCAGAGTGTCTTGAATGAACAATTGCCCAAGAACAAATTTAGCTAGATATCCATTTTAGCTATTTCAGTTTGTCCTCCTCTTTTTCAGCTGCTCAGTTTTATTGAAAGGGAGCTAGAATACAGCAGATATTCTCATAATATCGTTTTAGTAGTAGTGGCAATTAATGAATTATTCATATGAATGTTAAGCCATCAGAAATGGAATGAGATTTGGCCTGTTTGACAATGAATAGGCCAGCAGGTATTCGCAAAATCATGTTTCTTAAAAAGCCCCTGTTGTTTGAAAAAGTTTGAAATTCCCCATTTTAAAGAATTAACACCTTGACGGAAAAGTACAGAACCTTTTCTGAAAGTCCATAACGTGTAACTTCCTAATGGTGCAAAATATATTTGGGACTTTACATGAAAATTTGATACAGCTCCCAAACAGGAGGCATATATTTTCATATCTGGATGGTTCTAAAAATGTGGGCAGGATGAAGAAAAGAAAAATAAGAGCAAGAGATATAGAATTATGCTTTGCCATACATCCCTATGTACTAATTCCTGAAAGTTATTACCTAGGTTACTTGCATAGAGGTAGGTGGACCAGAGGCAGTTTGGTGACCCTTGGCTCCAGGTGGGCACTGTGGGACATAGTGTACTGAGAGGGCTGGCAGAAAGGTAGACAAGCACAGCGGAAAAAATACAGCGTCATTTACACCAGGGAAAATATTATCATATGTGCACTAGTTTAATTCTTGGTGGTTGGTGTTAAACACGTGAGCATTTGTTGCCCAGATAGAAAAAAAACAAACCTGAAAGCAGACAATATCTTTAGGGATGTGCGCTGGCAGGAGGTCTGCATCTCCAGTTCCTTCTCCCATTGAACTTACCACTCGGAGAAAAGATGAAAAGTAAGATATGAAGCTAAGTCCTGGTTTTAAAAGCTGAGGCTGTCTTTGGGATTTGACTTCCAATACTGGTTTAAACAAAGTAA